TGTACATACAGGGTTTTACCATGTTGCCCAGTCTGGTCAGCTGGTCTCGAACTCTTGAGCTCAAGTGATCCACTCGCTTTGGCCTCCCAAAGTGCTGGGATTACAGGCATAAGCCACTGCGCCTGGCCAACAATCAGTGTGTAATTTTTAAAAACTAAAAAGAGGGCTGGGCGCAGTGGCTCATGCCTGTAATCCTAGCACTCTGGGAAGCCCACCTTGGCTTATGTGCAATTGAGAGCAGGAGTCTTTTCTTGACAAGAATTCCTTATAGTAGGCTTCGTTCATTTGTCTTGGGAAAAAAGCACCAATCTAGCTTGTATATAAGTAATCCCATGCATATTGCCTTCAGGGAAGATGGAAAATGTACTACACGTTCAATACCCCTTATCTAAAATGCTTGGGACAAGAAGTGTTTAGGAATTTGGATTTTTTTTTTTCAGATTTTAGAATATTTGTGTTATATACTGGTTGAGCATCCCAAATCTGAAAATCCAAAATGTTCCAGTGAGCACTTCCTTTGAGCGTAAAATCTGCACTCAGAAAGTTTCCATTTTGATAGCATTACAGATTTCGGATTTTAGTCAAGAAAAGACTCCTGCTCTGAATTGCACATAAGCAGTTTAGGAGGAACTCCCCTATTTTCCTTTCTCAAATGACCATCCTTCCTGGCAATGTATTGAGAACTCTGAAAAAGTATATAATCTGAGGCTACAATTAATTCACCTCAACTGAAGGAATAGTCTTATCAAACTCTTCAATATTTTATCTCATTTCAGTATCTAGGTGAAACATGAATACAGGTGGCACATGCCTGTATTCCCAGCTACTTGGGAAGACTGAGGAGGGAAAATCCCTTGAACCTGCGGGCAGAGGTTGCAGTGAGCCGAAATTGCGCCACTGTACCTAAGCCTGGGTGACAAAGTGAGACCCTGTCTCAAAAAACAAAAACAAAATGCACAGAATTCTGAGCCTGACACACAGTGGGGATGACTTGGAAGACAAGCCTGCAGTAACTGATAGTCATTAATTAGAATAAAGGCCTGAGGGCAAAAAAAATAAACTACAAGCAAAGACTGTTGCCAATGGTTTAGTTCCACTGTGACTTTCCAAGGCCTTCTCCACTTGCAGATATATTTCTCTGAGGATGTCATAGTTGAATGGGTGAAGTTAAAATGGAAATAGCTTTCTTCAGATAGCAGAGTACAGACTCAAGCTAGGCAGCTTGGGTTGAAATCTGGTGTACTAATCTGTGATCTTGGGTAAATATTTAACCTATGCCTCAGATTCCTCACTGATAAAACTGGAATAATGCAGTCCCTACTTCAAAGGGTGTTGTGACTACCCAGTTAAGAGGACATTCTTCTCCCAGTTCTTCTATACCCCCTTCCCCACTTTCTTTTTCTTTACAACGCAAGTGATCAGTTAACAATATCTTTATTGTCTTGTCTCTCCCCACTCACAGAAAGCAAGCTCCGTAAGAGCAAAGACTTCTGTCTGTTTTGTTCAATGCAGTGTCCCCCAATACCTAGAACATTGCTCTGTATGTAGTAGCTACTCAAATGTTTGCTACCTAGAAATTATGGAACGAATGTAAAAATAATGCTGGAGGGCGATTTAATAATTAACATCAGAGCTGAAATCAGATTATTCCAGCACTCTAGACTGTAAACCAATACATAACAGGAGAGAAACTTTAAGCTGGAGAACAACAGATCAAGCCAAGGACTTTGGGACTGGCCACCAACTCCAAGGCTGTAAAGGGGATGTCCAACAAATACATTGGCCTCATACTCCTTGCCTAAACATGGTTCCATCCCCAGTCACACATGGATTAATTAAAAGTGAGGAAATTTATAAGAAAAATCATCTTTTCTTCCCCAATCTGAGAAATACACCATGTCTGAAAGGTAAGGAAAGACAACAAGCAACGAATCAACACGTTTCAATGTGCTCAGAATACTTAAGCAAGTATTTTATATGACTTGCATTTGATATAGAAGATCTGGTCTAGCCCTAGCACTGTGGGTTACCCCTGAACAAGTAATTTCTCCCCTGGTGGTCACAGCTCCGAAGTTAATTTTTTTAAAAAGCAGGATGGGGACAGGCACGGTGGCTCATGCCTGTAATCCCAGCACTTTGGGAGGCCAAGGCGGACAGATCACCTGAGGTCAGGAGTTTGAGACCAGCCTGACTAACATGGAGAAACCCCATCTCTACGAAAAATACAAAATTAGCCAGGTGTGGTCCACATGCCTATAATCCCAGCTAGTTGGGAGACTGAGGCAGGAGAATTGCTTGAACCCGGAAGGCGGAGGTTGCGGTGAGCTGAGATCGCCAACATTGCACCCCAGCCTGGGCAACAAGAGCGAAACTCCATCTCAACAACAAATAAATAAATAAAAAGGAGGTTGGCCTAAATGTGCTCTATGATCCCTTTAATTCTGAGTGAGACTATATGAGGAGGTGGGGAAGGAAGAGTGATTAAGTGTGCAGCAGGCAACAGGTTCGCTTTAGTCTTTGCAGAACCAATACCCACATGTTATAGAAAGAAGTCAGGGAGCTGTTGTAAATGTAGACATCTGATTTTTAAATATGATATCCACCCAATCTCCTCCCCAGAATGACGTCTGAGGATCCTGTTGAAACTACAATCTGGCTAGGTGTGGTGGCTCATGCCTGTAATCTGAACACTTACCCGAGTTGGGCAGATCACTTGAGGCCAGGAGTTCAAGGCCAGCCCGGCCAACATGGTGAAACCCCATTCCTACTAAAAATACAAAAATTAGGTGGGAATGGTGGTGAGCACCTGTAGTCCCAGCTACTTGGGAGGCTGAGGCACAACAATCACTTGAACCCAGAGGCAAACGCTGCAGTGAGTCGAGATCTCACCACTGCAATCCAGCCTCGGCAACAGAGGGAGACTCTGTCTCAAAATACATAAACAAACAAACAAATAAAAATACAAAAAATTATCTGGGCATGGTGGCACACGCCTATAATCCCAGCTACTCAGGAGGCTGAGGCATAAGAATCGTTTGAACCTGGGAGGCAGAGGTTGTAGTGTGCCAAACTTGCGCCACTGCACTCCAGCCTGAGCAACAAAAGGAAACTCAGTCTCCCCACCCCACCCCCCACAAAAAAGAAAGGCTATAGTCTGTAAGTTTTCTTTTATCCACTGCACTTACTATAAAATGCTATATTAGAATCTTTATCTGTTTTGTATCTGGCTGTATTCCCTAAATTCCTAGACACATAGTTACCAATCAAAAAGTATTATTTGCTGACTCAATGAGTTGAGTAAATTCTAAATACATAGTCAAGAGAGCCAAATCCAGTTTCTCCATTTCCACTTAGGAAATAATCAGTATATACATGGTAGATAAGAAGAAAGGCGAGTAGTTTCAGATAGTTCTTTAATCTGCTGATCTCCTGTTCCTTAATAATCTCCCTTAAACTTCTCTTCCCTTTTTTCCCCTGTATTTCTGGAAAAATCTCATGTCTCTAAAGCACAAAATCAGCTATAGAAAGATTAATAAATTAGGGAGGAAAAAAAAAAAAAAATTTTAAGGGGAGATAGGAAGTACCTGGCAAAGTTAGACAGAAAGCTTATCGTTAGAATCCAAGGTCTGGAGACAACCCGGAGGGCAGTTTGGCTTCTATACCATAAAGGAACAAACGGATAGTAGCATAATACACTTAGCAAAAGAAAAAAAATTTAACCCAAAAGCACCTTCATAATTATGAACGACAATCACTTGTAACAGTAACCTAAAATGATTTTGCCTTCTCCCTCTATCATCACTCTTAATTTCAAATGCTCATTTCTAAAATCTGTATACAAAATTTTACGTAGCCAACTACATGCATATTCTAGAAGTCTCTTTCAGTGGCTTGCCTTTGAAAGAAGTTAAAAGTGAAACTCATGCCTCTTGATTGGTACAATAATAAAGGAGACTCTGGAATGCTATAAGCTACCACTCTCTCTCTAAACAGAGTAAAATCAATCTGAGCAAAGCTCACAAAGACAGAGAGACCAACAAACAGAACAAAGTAAGCCATTTGGAAAATCCCAATGATCAACCAGCTTCTTGATCTAGCTCCAACACAATGAGAGAGGAGGATCTGATCAAAACAGCAGAAAAAAAAAAAACTGCTTAGATTGGTCTGCACTGGAAACTACCAAGGGAGTGACAGATTCCTACATATAACACACAGGAAATGGGAGGAAAGCCACTGGAAACTGATGGTGAAAAAGACTAAATTTAAGTCCATCCAGATTGGCAGCCAGATGTTCCAAACGCCAAGCCCACAGAAATATTTACTGCAAGGGCTGGGCCATCAAGGGTACTGATGAGTATTGGAAAGTCCCTAGAGACCAGGTTTCTTTAGAGATAAAAAGAACAAAAGCAAAAAACAACACAATGAAATGACCACCAATAGTCTGGACAGAATTTAAAATATATAGATACCAGGTCCAAAGTGAACTTCTTGTGTAGGAACCAGACAAATTTAATTGACAATTCCTAACTTTTAAATTGGCCTTTGTAAACAGAGCAAAAAAAAATCTTTCTGAAGGTAAAGTATAAGAAGAAAACATAATTTAATGCAATTAATGCCAAAAGTGAACCAAAATATAATGTCCAAGATATTTCCAACATGTGTTGCTGAGCTAGCTATCAACTTTTGAAACACACGTTTATATATTAAGATAATCCATCCAGGCTGTGCAGAAGAGGAAGCACCATGACAAGGACAGAGGCATAGGTAGGAAAGCAGAGTGTTGATCAAATGTCCAACCCACCTCAGGTTGAGGAATTATCTCTAGGTTTTCTGGAGCAGTCTAATAATTTGACACACAAACCAGCAAGGTCCTCTGCATCTCAACATTGTGTCCCCCAAATTACACTTTTCTTGCCCTAAGCCCAGAGTTATACAAGATAATCCAGCAATGTAAGGGTGGCATGCATTTTCACCATGGTAGATATCAACACGAACCTCACCTTGTCACTGTCATCATGACAAATGTGGTCGTGATGGATGGACTGGCACTGAAAAGAAGCACCAACACTACCTACAAGAAAAAGGGAGGAAAAGTTAAGATGCAGTAATTCCTTACATTTAAACTGCTTTACCAATTAAAAGTGCTTTTATATCCATGATCTCATCTAATCCTCAACAATACTCGTAAATAGACAGAGTGGGGATTATTATTCATGCATTTTAATAGAAGAAAACAAAACATAGAGAGGCTGACCCACACAAAGTAGTAGTTAGAGAGTGGCAGGTCTAAACTCCGATATTCAAACCCCTAAATCCCCTTCCTTCTACTAGACTGAGTGGTCTGCTTTCAAAGTAAGAGCAAGTAAGTCTTGATCTGTCACCCAAGCTGGGAGTTCAAAGGCATGATCTCGGCTCACTACAACCTCTGCCTCTTGGAGTAGCTGGTATAACAGGCGCCTGCCACCACATCCAGCGAATTTTTTTTTTTTAGTAGAGATGGGGTTTCGCCATGTTGGCCAGGCTGGTCTCGAACTCTTGACCTCAGGTGATTCACCCACCTTGGCCTCCCAAAGTGCTGGGATTACAGGTGTGAGCCACTGCGCCAAGCCAGGATACTTTTAAAGTATGTCAATCTCCACATACTTTGTGGAGAATAGACTGGGAATGAGGTGAAGTTCACAGGGAAAGAGTGGAATTAAGGAGACCAGGAACTAAGGATACTCCACAAAGTATGTGGGCAATGACATATTTTAAAAGTATCCTTTCATAACCTTCAAAAGGATAATTTCAAGAATTATCCTTTTAAAGGTTAAGACAGATCATGTCATCACTCCTCTGAAAACCTTCGTTTCTTCTTTCACTTAAAAATCCAAAGTCTTTACTTGGTCTACTACTTTGTATGACTACTCTGTACCTTTCCGATTATACTTCCTGCCACTTCTCCTTTCCTAATAGGAAACTAAAACACAGTAAACACACATAGCAAATTATCATATTAGTATGTAATATACTTAAAATATCACCAAATAATACCCTTACAGATTGAGCATTTCTAATCTGAAAATTCAAACTCTGGAACTTTTTGGTTCTGACATGCTGTCACCAAGTATAAAATTCCAAACCTGACCTCCTATAACAGATCACAGCCAAAGCTTTGTTTCATGCACAACATTATTTAAAATATATATATATATATATATATGTTTTGAGACGAAGTTTCGCTGTTGTTGCCCAGCTGGAGTGCAATGGCACTGTGATCTCAGCTCACTGTAACCTCTGCCTCCCAAGTGCAATCAATTCTCCTGCCTCAGTCTCCAGGGTAGCTGGGATTACAGGCATGTGCCACTACATCCAGCTAATTTCTGTTTTTAGTAGAGACAGGGTTTCTCCATGTTGGTCAGGCTGGTCTTGAACTCCTGACCTCAGGTGATCCACCCGCCTCAGCCTCCCAAGGTGCTGGGATTACAGGTGTGAGCCACTGCGCCCAGCCTATTTAAAATAGGATATAAAATTACCTTTAGGCTATGTGTATATGGTATATATGAAACATAAATCGTTTCATGTTTAGACTTGGATCCCATTCCCAAAGTATTATCTACGTATATGCAAATATACCAAAATACGAAAAAATTCAAAATCCAAAACATTTCTGTTCCTGAGCATTTTGAATAAGAGATACTCAACCTGTAACAAGTCTTTGTGTGTAGTAACGAGGCCTTTGTAATGGCCAGGCCCATTCAGAAGTTACATTTCCCTTTGTTGGCAATACAGCATGCTTTTCAAAATGTTTTATCCAGAATACCTAATATGTGGCCAGGCGCAGTGGTTCACGACTGTAATCCCAGCACTTCGAGAGGCCAAGGTGCGCTGACCACTTGAGTTCAGGAGTTTGGAGACCAGCCTGGCCAACATGATAAAACCCCATCTCTACCAAAAACTACAAAACTTAGCCAGGACTGGTGGTGCACAACTGTAGTCCCAGCTACTCAGGAGGCTGGGGTGGGATAATCACTTGAACCCAGGAGGTGGAAGTTGCAGTTGAGCCAGGACTGAACCATTGCACTCTAGTCTGGGCGACAAGAATGAGACTCCATCTCCAAAAGAAAATAAAATAAAATGCTACATTTTTGTTGATTATATACTAACAGTGACAGGTAGATTTCTTTTTTAAAAATCTAGCCCCAGGAACCTTGCCTGTACTTTTTTAAGTAATTGTCAATGCAGTGACTGTCCAAAAGAGACACACAGTAAAGTCTAATTTTTTGGTTCTCCCATTTACTGTTCTTTCAGAACTCTTTCCCTTTCAGGCTAGCAAAACTAATTTTTAGGTGTCTTAGTTTATAGAGAACATTAAAATATGTTAAGCCTTAACCAATACTTGCTCCAGAAGTAGCTCAATTCTGAAATCTGATCTCTCTGGGTCTTAACAGCATCACTGGCAGGCTAACTGCATTACAACTGCTACTGGAATACCAGGGTTTACGGCATGGCCGCAAATAAATGTGCTAAGAGGATTCTGAGTCTACTCCAAAGATTCAAGCATCACCCAACTGGAAAAACCCAGCTTTACTTAACTCATCTATTCTCAATGTTTTAAACTTTTAGATTTTTCTACATGAACTTACAACAGAACAGACTGCATTGTTTTTTAGAAATCTTACTTAAAACTTACAGGACAAATTACTGGCTCTATTAGACAGTACAATTTAAGATACTATTACTGTTGGGAAGATGTTAACTAACATGAGGCAAAAGACTGTGAGGATCATCTGCTTATTTACTATTACAGTAAGTGCTTATTGATAGTTCCAGATATGTAGAGCAGAAAATTCTATGTCAGAATCGGATTTGTTTTGTTTTTAGACAACCTTAGTGAGACATAATTTAAATGTTACACAATTCATCTATTATTTGAAGTATACAATTCAATTTTTTTTTCAGTGTATTCACAAAGCTATGCAATCATCATCACAATTTTAGGACATTTTCACCACCCACATTTATCTATTCCCTGAACCACTGACAACCACTACTTCAATTTCTATGTATTTGCCTATTCGGGACATTTCATATTAACAAAATCATAAAATATGTGGTCTTTGTAATCAGGTTCATTCACCTACCATAATGTTTGCAAGGTTCATCCACATTGAGGCGTGTACCAATTCACTACTTCAATTTCTGTGTATCTGCCTATTCTGGACATTTCATATAAACAAAATCATAAAACGTGGTCTTTGCAATCGGGTTCATTCATCTACCATAATGTTTGCAAGGTTCATCCACATTGAAGTGTGTACCAATTCATTCCTTTCTATGACTAAATAATATTCCAGTATATGGATATAACACATTTTGTTTCACTTTGGGATATTATGACTAATGCTGTTTTGACATCCATTTACAAGTTTTTGTGTGAACGTTTATCTTCATTCTTCTTGCTGGGTCATTCGATCTCTCTATTCAACTTTTTGAAATGCCAAACTGTTTTCCAAACTGACTGAATCATTTAAAATTCTACCAGCAATATATTACAGTTTCTCTGGCATTTTTTGAGTAGAATGAACTTTGGAGTCAGACTTCAATACAATTCAGGAATTTACAGACTATGTGAACTTAGGCAAGTCACTTAACAAATTATATGCCTTCCTCCTCTAAAAAATAAGAATAACATTATCTATCTACTTACATATAGTTAATTCATAGATCTGTTCTGAGAGATATTAAAGTTAGATGTATGAAAAAGCTCACAGCACAGTGCCTGGCACACAGCAATTCAAGAAATGGTACTATAATGAACACTTCTATTCACATCAAGCCTGTGATTTGCCTGTGAGACATTCCCTAAATCCTTAATTTTTTTTTTTTTTTTTTTTTTTTTTTTGCTAGAACTGTTTCATCACCTTCTATTCCCTTTTTTTTGAGACAGAGTTTTGCTCTTGTTGCCCAAGCTGAAGTGCAATGGCACAATAATGGCTCGCTGCAACCTCCGCCTCCCAGGATCAAGCAATTCTCCCGACCCAGCCTCCCCAGTAGCTGGGATTACAGGCATGCACCACCACGCCTGGCTAATTTTGTATTTTAAGTAGAGACAGGGTTTCTCCATGTTGGTCAGGCTGGTCTCAAACTCCTGACCTCAGGTGACCCGCCTGCCTCGGTCTCCCAAAGTGCTGGGATTACAGGTGTGAGCCACTGCACCCAGCCATATCACCTTCATTTTTTGAGGGGGAAGAGGAGGAGGTTACACATCTGTCTCTCCAGCCAGGAGAGAGGTCAGGTTTGACACTGAGTCTTACTCTGTAACCCAGGCTGGAATGCAGTGGCACAATCACAGCCGACTGCAGCCTTAAATCAATCTTCCAACCTTAGCCTCTCGAGTAGCTGGGACTACAAGTGTGTGCTACCAGGCTCAGCTAATTTTCTATTTTTTGCAGAGATGGGGTCTCCCTATGTTGCCCAGGCTGGTCTCCAACTCCTGGGCTCAAGAGATCATCCCGTCGTTTCCCAAAGTGCTGGGATTACAGGTGTGAGCCACCGTGTCCAGCCAAAGGTGTTGCTTTTTATCAGACCTTCAAATTAATTCAGTCAAATTGTAGATCCAATACTCTAAAACAAGCTTGTCCGACCTACGGCCATGGGCCGCATTAGGCCCAGCAAGGCTTTGAATGCAGCCCAACACAAATTCGTAAACTTTTTTAAAACATTAGGAGACTTTTTTTTTTGCAATTTTTTTTTTTTTTTTTTAGCTTATCAGCTATCGTTAGCGTTGGCATGTTTTATGTGTGCCCCAAGACAATTCTTCTTCCAATGTGGCCCAGGGAAGCCAAATGATTGGACAACTCTGCCCTAAAATATTCAAGATTCCTCCCTCCATACCTCATCCCAACACACACTTACAAGCAGCAAGAGTTTCAGTACATTCAGTGTTTTTGTCTACAATAGCAAAGCTTTCACAGTGCTGAATGAAAGACCTAGATAGGTTAGCACCCTCAGGCACTTACTTATACGAAGCTAAAGAGGGAGTGGGATGACAATGCTATTTCTAACTGGAAGAAATAATCTCCCTCTCAC